ATCCTGTCTTAACGGTCTCTTCACGAAATTACAAAACATTATCACCCTGGCATGGTAAAATGGGTATGTTTTTACGAAAAAAAAAAACAACACCCAATCAAACATTACCTAGTACGCGCTTAGCACGAGTGAATCCGATATGTTACTCGCCCGCTCCCATTAAAACTTTTAAGCGAGAAAGCGCCCGGGTCCCTTTCTTGCACGACATCGTCAAGGGTCCATTAACATTAGTAAACGATATATGTGCCTACTTTATAACACCAATCCCTCGCATCAGACTTTTTCCTTGGTTTACATTAACCTTTGCTGTGCCTCATAGTAGATACACGGCATCATGATGCTGCGCATATTTCGCTCTCCCAGCCGTCGGCCCTATCAACGTAGTTACGCATACTAAATCAAGTGGCACGAAGCGTAAGACTCTTGTCGCTCTCAGCGCGCGTTTCTCTCTCTCGCTCTCTCTCTTCTTCACCCACCACACTCTCGCCACGCTTCTCTCTCTCTCTCTCTCTCTCTCTCTCTCTCTCTCTCTCTCTCTCTCTCTCTCTCCTCTCTCTACACTCTCTCTCTCTCTCGCACGCATCTCTCTCTCGCCTCTTTCTTTCTTTTCTTTCTTCTCTCTCTCTCTCCCTTCCCCCTCTCTCGCTCCCTCTCTCTTTCTTTCGTCTCTGTCTGTCTCTCTCGTCTCTCCTCTTCTTCTCTTTTCCTCTTCTCCGCTCCCTTCTCTCTTTCTTTCTCTCTCTTCTCTCTCTCTCCTCTCTCTCTCTTCTTCTCTCTCTCTCTCTCTCTCGCTCTTTCCTTCTCTCTTTCTTTTGTCTCTTTCACTCTCTGTCTCTCTCTCTCTCTCTCTCTCTCTCTCTCTCGCGCTCTCTCTCTCTCTCTCTTTCTCTGCTCTCTCTCCTCTCTCTGCTTGCAGAAGCCAATTGCAAACAGCTGTTAAAACAAAATCCTTCCGTATGTTTACACACATTTTTCTCACAAATATATAACCTGTGTGTTCCAGTACGTACAGCTTTTTTATGATCTTTATCACTTTAAATTGTGTAGCATGCATTCAATTTAGTTTCGAATCATTAAATGCATTTAACCTTTTGTATTCCCTCCCACCCACAAGGCCCACTTGAAACGTTTCAATAAAATGTATATGCCGAAATAAATACGGAAAAACTAATAGTAATACTAGTTACTACAAAAATTCTTAATGTTTCTATACTCTCTTCAGTTTCACCTATATTGCGACAGTCTTCCTGTCAATCCCGTGTAAAGTCTCTGATGCACACACACTAATACGCCTGCTTGCTCAATGTGCACAGTGACTGTAATATATATATAGTATATATATTTATAATTTTAGTGTAACGCGTGCAACAGGTTGCTCGCGCCGCGGAGGAGCAGTGGCAGTCCGGCAGCGTACGTTGTGACGTGGGATTTGGACGGAATTTTACTAGGACTGTTGGCAATAATAGGTGAAAAAAGAGATGTAGGCCTTAAGACTATATAAACCATTCGTATTTAGTTCAAGCATTTTATATTTTATTGATGAACGCTTCAAGTTAGCCTGCTGCTCACCCACTCTTCTAAAGAAATTATATTGTGTTTTAGAACAATCATTTCACAAGGGAAACATTCGATGCTCCAGAGCAATAATAAAACTCAGTTTGAGTCTTTTCCTTGCTCTGTCTCTCTCTTAACGCTCCTTATCTTTCTTGCCTGCGCGCTCTCTTTCTCTCTCTGTCTCTCTTTTCTTCTCTCACCTCTCCTTCGCTCTCTTAATCTACTTTTAATGTGGTCAGCTGAAATTGTTAACTTACCACTCCCTCAGAGCTGTAGGAATTCGGATTTACATGCACGGATACGCACGCCACGGCGCACAACACACACACTACACACGCACTCACGCCACACACGCCACGCAGCGCACGCTGCGCACACACACACAACAAGTTAACGCAGAAACGCACCGACCACGAACGCACGCACGCACCTGCGCCACACACACACACAAGATACGCACGAACGCACGCACCGCGCACACACACACGCACGCGACGCACGCACGCACGCACGCACGCACGCCACGCAAGAACGAAACGTACTCACGCCACGCACGCCACTCGATACGCGTGTCTAACTTCTGTCGTGCCTCATACTTTCCCTGCATGCTACCACGTTCCCATATCTTCCCTCCATCTCCACTCTTCACACATGACTCACGCTTGTAGAGATGCTATCACTACTGCTCATCCCGCGTGCCTGTCTCTCACCCTGCACCCCCGCCTGCCTATCGTCTTCCCAGATGCTGTTATCAATTTCTCTCACTCGGCCTTCTCTATCTCTATCATCTACCCCCCCTCTCCTCCTCTCTCTTGATCTCTCTCTCTCGTCTCTCCTCTTCTCTCTCTCTCTCTCTCCTCCTTTATCTTCCTCTCTTCTCTCTCTCTCTCTCTTCTCTCTCTCTCTCTTTCTCTCTCTCTCTCTCTCTCCTCTCTTCTCTCCTTCTCTCTCTCTCTCGCTCTATCTCTAGTCTCTGCTCGTCTCACCCTCTGTCTTCTCGCTCTCTCTCTCTCTCTTCTCTCTCTCTCTCTCTCTCTCTCTATCTCTCTCTCTCTTCTCTCTCTCTCTCTCTCTCTTTCTCTCTCTCTCTCCTCTCTCTCTCTCTCTCTCTCTCTCTCTCTTTTGCCCCTCTATGTCTTTTCTTCTCTCTCTGTCTCTGTCTCTGCTCTGTCTCTGTCTCTGTCTCCTGTCTCTGTCTCTGTCTCTGTCTCTGGTCTCGTGTCTTGCTCTCTGTCGCTGTCTCTGTCTCTGTCTGCTGTGTCTCTCTCTCTCTCTCTTCTCTCTCTCTCCTCTCTCTTCTCTCTCTCTCTCTATCTCTCTCTTCGCCATCGCCCATCCAGATAAGAACAATTAGTAGGCTGAACCCTCCCCGACTCGATCCCATGCCAAATTAAGCAAGTCAAGTCCCTTCTAAGGAGTTTCAGTAACGTTATTCAGCTTAACTGGGGCAGCGGCTTGCTTTCATGCACTGCACTGGCCCACACACACACACGCACGCACGCACGGCACACAACACGCCACGACACGCCACGGCACGCACGCCACACACACGCACGCACGCCACGCACGCACACGACGCAACGCACGCACACACACACACTCCCCCAAACACACATAATCACAGACCCTCCCTCCCCCCCTCTCCCCCAACCACCCGACCAACCACTTGGACATGTTACGGCCAACGATCACACACTCCCTCGAGGGCCAGTCGCCCGAAAACCGCTCATAACTTTGGAAAAATACGCCAAATTCGATTTAATCCCGAGGCGGCGTTGCATCGCTGCACCGCCATCACCGCCATCACCGCCGTACTAATTGAAAACCCGGGGGAGGGTGAAATCCGCATCGACACGCTCAAAGCAACTAGTGCTCCCTCCAACCCTACGTTAGAGAACATTTTGCTACAGAACGGATGACCGCATATACAGTGCAATACAGTGCAATACAGTGCAATACAGTGTAATACAGTGCAATGCAGTGGAATACAGTGCAATACAGTGCAATACAGTGTAATACAGTGCAATGTAGTGCAATACAGTGCATATACAGTGCAATACAGTGCAATGCAGTGCATATACAGTGCAATGCAGTGCAATACAGTGCAATACAGTAAAACCTGCGTTGGCCCAGACACATTTATAGAACGGACACCTGTCTACAAAGGACACGTTTGACGTAAATGGCCGTTATACAGCAGCAGTGGAAACACCTCTATATTAATATAACGGACACCCGCCTGCAAATTACCCTTTCCTCTTAAGCGATCCTTATATATGCAGGTTTACTTGCACAACTTGCACTTGTACTTCGCACATATTAACGACGACAAACATCGCTAGAAGCATGTACAACCAAGAAGAGGGTCAGCGAGTTACCGAGAAAGAGGTACGGAAACAAACACCGAGGCAGCGATTGTTTTATCATTGTTTTACAGTCAATCATCATTTAGAATCATTTCCGACGAAGAGGATGTCGCCGAAACAAACGATTGCATGACGACGACGAGAAAAAGCGAAGAACTGACATAGAAACTAATAATTATACGTACGAAGTAAGTACGTAGGTCAGGAGCGAATTAGGAAGAGGTACGCAAACAAACACCGAGGCAGCGATTGTTTTATCATTGTTTTACAGTCAATCATCATTTAGAATCGACAAACGATTGCATGACGACGACGAGGTAAAGCGAAGAACTTACGTAGAAAATAAGAATTCTACGTACGAAGTACGCAAAAGGTCAGCGAGCTAGTGTCGAAGAGATCATACGCCAACAAACACCGAGGCAGCGATTGTTTTATCATTGTTTTACAATCAATCATCATTTAGAATCATTTAACACATTCGTTCGGCCGTCGCCGATACGAACGAAGGATTGCATGACGACGAGTTAAAGCGAAGAACTTACGTAGAAAATAAGAATTCTACGTACGAAGTAAGTACTTAGAAGGTCAGGAACTATAGCGAGGAAGAGGTACGCCAACAAACACTGAATTCGAAGCGGTGATTGTTTTATCATTGTTTTACAGTCAATCATCATTTAGATTAGAATCGACAAACGATTGCATGAAGAACTTACGTAGAAAATAAGAATTCTACGTACGAAGTAAGTACTTAGAAGGTCAGCGAGATAGCGAGGAAGAGGTACGCCAACAAACACTGAATTCGAAGCGGCGATTGTTTTATCATTGTTTCACAGTTAATCATCATTTAGAATCGACAAACGATTGCATGACGACAACGACGACGACGAGGTAAGCGAGTCTCGTGGGTCGCATCGTCGGACGTTGCCCCTCGTGAATTAATAACACGCGTGAATTAATAACACGCGTGAATTAATAACACGCGTGAATTAATAACGAGGCGATTAGTAGAACACGCGCACGCATGAACGCACGC